GACTCACGGCAGCCCAGCTCCAGGTCGAGCTGTTGTTCACCATCTTAGCTGTAGAGGGCGCAGCGTCACTGGCTCTAATGTGGGATCCGAACTGGGGCCCTGCTTCTCAGAGCTGGCGTCCCAAGCCAACTCTTAACCAACGCACCACTCGGCCGGCCCTCTTAAACTTTCTTAACTTGCCTGACGGTGCGCATTCCTTTACCAGCCAACCTATCAAAACTCACTTTTTGATTACCCTAAAGTGCAGTTAATACAGAAAAGGTAACTGCTTGTTTCTTTCCCTTTATTAACAAGTATTCAGAAGTGACTGGTTTCTAGCATCCTCCAAAAGGTGACCAGTACAATATCATTAAAATATCATGAATTTAAAAATATTTTATTTCAACTCATTGCACTTATAATTTTTATTGGTGCTGACAATCCCATCTCTGGCCAGTAGGAGCCTCTTTAGGTTAGCCCCTGAGTCCTTGTGAATTTTACTAGTCACCTTTGATAGCTTGTTTTCTGGATTAACATTATGTTCCAGATTCATCCTGTACATTTCCTTTTCAGACCTTTAAGCACCATTTCTCCAAGAAGCTCTGGTTCCTTTTAGTGGGTAATGAAGAGAGACCACAGTCTGGTCATTAGGCATGTAATTGCCTTTCAACTGGCTCCTTTCCCCCAGGCTATTCTCCAGTCATGCAGATGTGAAAATGCAAATCTGACCACTCCCTTGCTTAAAGCCCTTCAATGCTCTGCTACCTGCTGGACAAAGCCAACTCCTTAGCACCTAATAGAAGCATATCTTTTTTTTTTGAGCTTCACATAAGTTGTGGTTTTGGGGTTTTTTTTACACAATTTGAAGGCAAGACTCTCCACCAGCAAGATTACAACTTGCTTTATTGCAATACTTGCTTTATTGCAATGGTCAGAAACAAAACCCTCATCTCCGAGGCATGCCTGTACCAGGTCCTCAGCTTACCCCTACAAGTTTCTTAACTTTTTGCCACTCCCCATGCTGAGTCAGGCTCTTGTACCTCTTCTCCTACTAATCCTTTGACCTGGCCACATCCATTCCCACCACTGCCTTAACCTCATCACCTCTCATTTTGACTCAATCTTTGAGATTTGGCATTACCTCAAGTATCATCTTAAAAACTTTTCCCTGAAACACTGGGCCAGGCTGTCTCCCAGTTGCCTCATGGTCCACTGTGCTTACCTGTGTAAGCACATAACACCTGCATGTAGCTCTTCTGTACTGCTCTGCTGTGGATGAGGAAATGCCTTATCTGTCTTTATCCTCAGCAGAGATGCCTCTATCTGATCACCTGCTTAGGCAGGACAAATTGTCCTTTCCCCACCTTAGAGGTCCTTCCACTTTTCCATCGGTGACTTCCTCACTCTAGTTAAGGCCTGCAGGTCTGCTAGGCATGGAATAACCTCTTGTTTAATTTGTAATCGGTGGGCTCATTGTGGGACCGACTACAAGGGATCTCATGCTCCTACTCTAGTTACAAAGATTGGGGGTGGGGAGATTTTTGCCCAAACCATCTCACATTTCCCTCTCCAGTCCAGGGGGCACTAACCTGAGTGTTGCTTACATAGGGCAACAATAAAAAGAGCTGGGGCTCTGGAGGCAATGCGCCTGGGTTCTTTCCATAGATCTGCCGCTGCCTGTTGGCATAACCTTGCAAGCTATTGATCATATGTAGTTAAGTATACCACCTTCTTAGGCTGTTGGGAACATTAAAATCTGAGAAGCTCTTTGCACAGTGCTTGATACATGGTGAGAACTATGTTGTGCTTTGTCTCTCCCACAGCCCAAAATAGAAGGCAGCACAAGGATAAAATTGGGCTTTAAAGAGCCTTTGAAACACAGTTTTGAAGTCAGCAAGAGAGGAGAAAAGGTGCTTTACGTACACTTTCCAAGTTGGGAAAGAAGTGGCTATCCTGAGCTGGGATGGGGAATCCAGAGGTGCGCTGGGAGTAAGTAACCTGGATGGAACCAGTCAACTCAGTTATCAGTCAAATCCTAACAGGCAGCTCTGTGGCTACATTGAACATGACAACCAGAGGACAAACATGCCTTATCATAATGCAAACTTTGGTTTATAATCTCATATATGAACTATGAGCACAAGAGTTTATGTTTTTCATTGATCCCTAACACCTAGAATAGAGCTGGGCCACAATGGTGACCAAAGTACTCACAGAATGAGATTGTTTTTTTTTCATTATGTTTCCCCTAATTCCAAAACTTGGCTGCACACTGGAACCAACTGCACATACTGCTACCACAAACCACCTACAATAAAGGCTGGGGAGAGTGAGGACCGGGAAAGGGCCTGGGCTATGTAGTAGACAGAAAATTCCCAACCTTTGCGGCAAGCTGGGGCTACAGGATGGGTGCCTAAGTGGGGGTGGGTCCTGTTTCTTCCTTGTCACACCTAGAGCAGAAAATTGTCCCACTCCCAGCCCCAAAGCCCCTTGTTCAGTTGTGGCCTTGAATTGAATTCACACTAACTCCAGGAAAGGTTAAGGAATTTTCTTTATTTTTTACAAATTAAGACTGTAGATTTCATATATTTCTGAATCAAAAACACCTTTGTCTTCACAGTATGAGTTAGAGAATGCAGCCTCAGCTGAAAACCAAGGAACTAGAAAAGAAAGTGATAATTACAGTGATTACTGTATTAAAAACCTGTTAGACATTTTCTTTAAAAGTAGTCTTTTTATATCTTGTCATTCTTGGCACTGTTTCTAAAGAAAAACTCCTTTATCCCAAGCAAAAAAGCACAAGAGGTGGAGATTGGCTTCAACAGATGTAATAACTCAGATTCTCAGGCCTACCAGACAATCAACAAATTTATGGAGAGTTGCTATTGGGGGGGAGGGAGGGGCAATGGGAAGGAAGTCCCGTTAGGAAGTTCTCAAGCCAGAGGCTGGAGGCAGCAGCTACATCAGAGGGCAGCATCCTGTGGAAGTGAGCCATTCTGGGTGGCATGCCACTCCAGGAACGTACATCCTGGGAACAAATTGTTTCATGGGATGGCACAGTGATGTGGTGCGCTGCGAAGCAGTAGCCACTGAGTCACACTGTGTATTGGGTGTGAACAGGGAGAGCCAAAGATGGTGTCCTACTGGCAATGAGCTTTTGATGGCTCAGTTCCCCTTACACTGAAGCCCAGTGAGTAGCCAGAGCCGTAACTGCTCCCAAGGCTTGGCCATCTGTGCCACCTGGCTGTGGCAGCCCACAGAGGCGCTGGTCATCCCCATTACTATTGCCCTCCTCCACTTGCAACCACAAAGCTGAAGGAAATCAGGTGTCCTGCAGGTTTGGTCCTGCCAGGAAGGCTGCAGATTTATGGAAACAGGTGAACAGCCCCAAACTAAAGTGCTTATATAAAATGAACATTTATCTCTTGCCCCGAATCTCTGGCTTGACACTACCTATTATCAGGTGGGACATTCATTACCAGTTAAGATGTAACAAAAACATACCAAAAGACTGTTATGAATGCTGCCTCCCAAGTCATCACAGCCTCATCCTGTTGATCTGAACAAAGACCCATTCAGTAGAGATTTTGTTCCAAACAAGTCCTTATCCAGGTCTGTCCGACAGGATTAGTTACAATTACCATCAGAGGCTCAACCATTCTCCTTCCCTATCCTTCCTCTCCAGGAACCTTAAATCACATCCACCTGGTAGAGGTCATTCAATAACTAAGGTGATAATCAATTAAAAACAAAAAAACAAGCCAGGGGAAGTTTGGGAATTCTATGCTCTACCTTGCCATACATCATCAGCCTTTTCATAAACGCGACAAGAATTAGCCTTCCCTTTGGGCTGAAATCCTCCCACCCCAGGGATGGAAAGCAGGCAGATTCCCTGAGGGTCAGACAAAGGATAGAAAAGGGAACACACACAAATCCAAATTCCCTTTGTGATAGCAAGGCAGAAAGGTGTGTTTGCCAGACCAGCAGCGACTTGGGCAGCTCAGAGGAAGCAAAGTGTCCAGCAGAAGAGGCTCTTCATGTTCTCTGTTAGGGCCCACAGAAGCTCAGATTAAGGAGCCTGCATAACAATGGGACCAGCAAACTTCTTTCCAATGGAAAACACACTGCCCAGTCCCAAGGAAACTATGCCCTAGCCAGTGCTTAGAAAGGAAGGGCCGAGGCAGCTCTACCAAACAGTACACATCCACTTGGTACAGCTCATCGGAAAGCAGACTCCAGGAGGTGGCCCCCTCTGCGGGTCTCACTCCGCATCACGGTGGACTGGCTGCCTGAGCAGAGGAAGGGGCTCGGGATGGGGGTGACAGAAAAGGGAATGGGGAAGAACCCAAATGGGGACATGAAGCCAAACTCCAAACTATATTCTGCTAATCAGTTTTTTGATCAAAAAATTCAAAATACAGAAAACCACAAAGTACAAAAGCTTTTCTGATGCTTTTCATTATCATAGAACACGCCACCTGTAATGTGTGCAAAGAGGAAATGAGGGGTGGAAGGACAGGAAGCCAAATTGGGAAAGGCTGGATGGTCATTTCACTTCTTCTCTTTCTTCTTGTCCTGGAAATGGAGAAAAATTACCCAATTAATTTTTGGTATCTGACATTCAAACTAAAACTCGTGAGTGAGCCCATACCTGGCTGCCTTTGGTTAGGAGACTGGAAAAGATCAGGACAATAAACAGGAGAAATGCTCCCTCAGCGCAGCAGAAACTGAATCTTAACCATCCTCCAGTGGTTGTCCCCCAAGTTGATGACAGACGTGATGAGAATAAACTTTAAGCAACAGTTTCCACTCCCACCCCAAGAGTACCTAGGGGGGCTGCCTGACCATTCTTCAGGCTATTCACAACCATCACAGCTCAGATCCCAATCAGTGAAGGCTGCAGACTGGCAGTCTACCCTAAAAGAACTAAACGAGAAGTCAAGGCCAAGACCAAGACCATCAACTTCCCATTGAGCCTGAGAAGAAAGCATAAATCCTGGGTATAAACCAACATTCAGAAATAATCTAGTCCAGTGGAACTTCATTCACTCTTAGGTGGAAAACCACTGTATTAAGCAAATGAAAGCTGAGTTGCTTTGACTAGAGTTGGGCACATGGTTGGTGCTCAGTCTAATTGTGGCACAGACCAGAGAACCAGCAATCCCATCCAGTCACCAGCTTCTACCACCACGCACTGTCTCTTGTTCCATAAGGTCTGTAAGAAAAGCTTGTGGTTTCATCTGTTCCCCTGCTGCTGGAGTGGACTATGTTTGACACTCACTAACCATACAGAGAATGCTTCTCTGGAAAAAAATTAAGACCAACAAATGCATAAAATTGGTCCACTTTTGAGATATATTTACAAAAGCTGGTCGCCAATATTATACAAATCCTCTAAAATATCCTTTTTTTGAGTCATAATTATCTTCACAGCCTTTAAATTCTTCATATAGTAGACTGTTTCTTGCATACAGTAGACCATTTCTTGATGCCACTGAACTCTTTTCCCTTTGATATTAATCTTAGAGATTCGTGGTTTTTTTAAAAAAAGGATTGTTTTTACTTGTTCCTTTTTCTCCATCAGCTAAAGACTTTTGGTTTATTTCTTGTTCAGTGGCCTGCCTTACTGTAACCCTGGGCCTATAGTGTATAAGCAAGTTTCCAAATTTGAAGTGTACATAGATGCTGAGCTCAGGAGCCATTCTCTTATCTTTGGGTGGTGGGTTGACTAACCTTCTCATTCATAGCCAGAATCATCATGAGTTTTCTGAAGAGAGTAACGAAATCCAAGAAGAGGTCAACACAGTGCCTGAAAGAGAACCAGATTACAAGTTGCACTTCCTACTTTCCTTTATCCACAGGCCCACAGAGATGCAAAACCCCACCCCCACCCATAAGTCAGCTTCACCAACACTCCACCACCAGCTAAGGAAGTAAAACTCTGGTGTCTGAGGATCCTTTTAACTCAATGAAGCCATGTAGCATAGAGAAAATAAACACTGGGCTTTAGACTCTGCAGAGGCCCAACTCTGAACCCTGAACTACTACTAATTTTGAGAGGATTACTACATGAAAAAATACATATATTAAAAAAATTATATTGGGCCGGCCGAGTGGCGCGTTGGTTAAGAGCTGGCTTGGGAGGTCAGAGGGCCCCGGTTTGGATCCCACATATGAGGACCAGTGACACTACCCTCTACAGCTAAGATGCTGAACAACAGCTCAACCTGGAGCTGGGCTGCCGAGAGTTGCCGGCGACAGCGTAGGCTGCAACCCCTGCTGCAGTGGGTTGCCATGGGCTACTGTGTGTAGCCAGTAACCAGCGTGAGCGGCCAGCAGCCGCCGTGAGCGGCAATCCGGAAGCCGGTGACTGATCTGCCTCGCCTGGGAAGAGCGCAATGATGGTGCCAACTTGGGCCAGTGAAGCAACGTCCTCCACAACTAGACTGAAGAACAAAAAGGACAGCAACTTGTCTGTTCCCCTCCCCCTAAATCCCCAATAAAATCTTTAAAAAAAAAAGTATGGATATATAAATACACATAATTAGTTCAATCTTTAAAAAACTGATTTCTTCCAGGAATTCAGGAAAACAGTGTTATTTGGTGCATAGTTCCAAGAGCATGGGTATCCTACCACATACACCCCTGAAGCTTGGCCACATAAGTTCTGCCAGTGCCACCTGGTCCAATCTTATCTGTACCAATGTGGACAGAAAGGTGGGTCAGGCAAATGATAGCCCCCAGGATTCAGAAAAGAGCTGTGGAATGTAGTAGTATGCCACACCCTTCATTCTCGTTAAAGACCAGTTTTCACACTCACCAGATATAATCCTTATCTCCATTTTCAGCCTTTTCAATAATGAGTTGAGTATCAAAAAGGACAAAGCCACACATGACCACCAGCCCCACATACAGGTTTGCCTAACAAAAGAATGAGATGAGGTTACCATATGGTTGACACTGTAGAGAAAAAAGCCATGCTTCTGTCTGGCTCTTGGCCCCTTGAAAGTACATCAAATGCTAACCCATTGACATTAACATTCATGGGAACTGAAGCCCAGGTGAAGACCAGGTTAATTCCCTCGGCACAATTCTGCATTCATTTTTTTAGGTCACTAGAAGAGCTTTGATCATTTTAAAAAGGAGCTGCTGCTGGACTGGCCTTAGAAAAAAGATCTCTGAGCAAACTGTCTTCTCCTTAGCAAAGTCCAACCCATTTAGTCTGAACTTCTACCCACAGCATTCTATACTAGGCGAGTTAGTGGAAAGGCTTCAAGAGCACTGCTCAACAAAGGTGAGCATTCTGGAAGATTCTCAGTCTATCTTGCTTTAGGGTTAAGAAAAAGAAGTCTGAGGCAAAAGGCCACTGGAAAGTTATATGTAAAGTCTCACCTGGAAAAGCCAAATGGATCCAAAGAAAAGATTCCCCAGGGAAGACAAGAGCATCAGGCTCATGGCTGACATCAAGACACCTGTAAGAGATGGCAAAAAGTCGTCTTGAGAGAAGCCAAAGTAAAGCAATCCCATTAAAGCCATTCCTTCCGTTCCTCTTAAAATGCTTTTTATTTCAACCCGACAGCCACAAGAAGTTTGTTTTTTTTGGGGGAGAGGGGGCAGGTGGAAATAGTCCTAGTGAAAATCATGGCTAGAGTGGAGACTCTCTCCCTGTTTTCCAGTCCACACTCACCTCCCAGAAAGAGGTAGCTACGGCGCCTGGCATAGAGTGCGCTCAGGGTGAAGCAGGTGAAGATCATGGCTGTTCCCATGAAGGCAGTGGGAAGGATGCTATAAAGGAAAAGACCAGGATACTGAGGGCTACAGGAATATAGTCTATATTTAGAAGGTACATTCATAACGGCAGAAAGACATAAGACACAACTAAAATAGTTACCTGGGGTTGATGGCAATGCACAACTCCAGAGCAGGGCCCAGGCCAACTCCTAGAAAACAAAAAGCCCCAGTACACAATATTACCAAGAATTCTTAAAGAGAACCCTCGTCCAAAAGCTGATCATTAATAGCATAACCATGCCCACGCTCCTTAAACAAACAAAATATGTGAACTAGGCATATCAAACATTTTTCTAGCTAAATCCTTAAGGCTGCAAAACTCTGGAGAGGAGACATGCGAGCCTGTAATGTGGGCCAGATCAGGAATTAGATAAGAAAGAGGATTAAGAGCAAAGCAGAGCTGGCCAGCAACCTTGCAGTCACGCAGGACTAACTCCCTTTGTAGCTAAAAAGGCCAGACCAGTTAGTTCTGCAGGTGGACACTGGCCAACAGGAGGACACAGCGGCAACCTGTTCTGGTTCCAACATTTCCTCTACTTGGACTATTCTCCTTTCTCCTGATAATTCCACCCCTCAATGCCTTCAAAGACTGCTTTCCCTGATCTAAAAATCTTAATCTCTAAATCCCTGACTTTCTACAATTTCTTCAACACGGTATAGATTAGACTCACTCAGAACAAGCTGTACTAACTCAAATGCTGCTTTGCAAGTATTTTTATTATGTAGCTTTAGTCCTGTTTCCCTTAACGATAATTCTAGAAGTGCTGTGCTTTTAATTATTTTCTTGAGAATCAGCAAAGTGCCTTGTGTGATAGATCTCAATGTATGGCTTTAATTGTCTGTAAGGTTCAGAATAGATGCTTCTATGGTAGTTGCCAATGTGAGTCCAACTAAGTCAGATTCTTTTTTTTTTTTTTTTTTTTTTAAGCTGAGCCATCCTGCTACCTGTTGGCAGCTCAGCGGCTGCTCAGCTCGGGCTGGGAATTGAACTGCTGTTGCTCAGAGCTCAAACTTTTGAGCGAGCTCTTAACTAACTGATCTACTCGGCCGGCCATCAACTAAGTCAGATTCTTGGGCCTCGTTTACCCCATGTCACCATTAACAAGTTATGCTACCTAAGCTCTTGAATCTCATTCATTCAAGCACATAAATGCTTATTTTTGGATACAAAAGTAGAAGTCACAGTCACTAATCACAAAGAGCTTACCCTTTGGATAGAGATATACCTACATGAAATAAGAAAGCAATACAAGGCTCTTAAATTTTAGACATTGTAGTAGTATGTCCTGGTATCTCCTTATACAAGGTAATCAGTCCACCTTTGATGACTAATTATTTAGAGTACCTTTGCAAATGCTTGTCGGCTATTTGTATATCTATCTTTATTTTTAAGTGCCTGTTTATATTTTTGCCATTTTCTCCCATTGGGTTATTTGTCTTTTTATTTTTCAACTGTAAGAACTCTTTATTTATTCTGTATTCAACTTCTGAATCAGGTATTTACAGTTTAAGCATTTTTCCAAGTGTGGATCTTGCCTGATGATTTTCTTAATTTTTATTTTCAGAGTGAAAATTTTTAATTTTGACAAATTATAAATTATCAATATTTTCTTTTATGTCTCATACTTTATATTATCTAAATATTATTTCCTGTCCTAAGATCACATATTTCCCTTTGTTTAACTTTACAATACTTACTAAAATGTCCTCAGTAACCTGGACTTTTTTTCTTAAATTAACCTATTTCTACCTCTCATCAAAATCTTGCTAACCAGTGTTTATCAATGCTCTTTCCAGCAGCTTCTATATCCACTGCAATCATTTTGGTAAAATGAATTTTGATGGCCCTTACAGTTTTTCAGAAAAAGCAACTTTTACATTGTTTGAAAGCTGTAGTGGAAATATGAATGCCATTGATCCTATGTAAGAGTTTTAACAGTTAAAGGATATTTATGGAGAATATAACAACGTAATGTTATTCTTCCTCCAAATGCTGCCTGATAGAGTCTGGAAAACACATTACTGTTAATAAATTACTTTTTATCTTGAAGAAAAAAAAAAGCGGTACAAGGCAAACTATATTCAAATATAAGGCTGGAAAGTAAGTGTACAAGTTGGGGTGAAACAGAATATATAAAAATCTCTGGCCTTACTAAAACATATGGTCCCGTCCCTCCGCCTAAATTAGACCAATCCCTTAATATACCTGTAAGGAAAGCAAATCCAGCAAGAAGTCCCAGTCTTTTTTGCTCAGTTTCACGGCTATGAGGTGTCGCCATCAGCCAAATCATCAACCCCAGGGAGCCCAGGGCAGAAAGCAGGCCAGCCTGTCAGATTGATGTAATATATAATATTATCGATATTATATATTATAATAAATAATAAAATCGATATAATTAAATATTTGAAAGTAATGAGTTTATTTTGCAGACATTATTAGATTCAAATATTCATCTGAATTTCCTAATATTAACTCCTAACCAGGGGGCAGTAGAAAAGGCAGTGGGGGCTGAAGAGAGAAACCAGAAGCTGTGAAGGACAGGGTTAGGTCCACGGTAGATGCTGGAGGCTCTTCTGGCTTGGGTAGTCCATCAACCACAATTACCTAAGTCAAACTGAGTCTTGTCCAAAAAATAGGAATGATGAACCGAAGTGACAAGTGCTTGAAGTATATTCCAATCCACAGAACAAGTAGAAATGGCCCATTTTAGGTCACTTTAAAACACATACACAAATAAATACATATGCATTGACTGAATGTTTATATCCCCCCAAAATTCATGTTTAAATCCTAACCCCGAATATAATATTTAGAGGTAGGGTCTTGGAAGGTGATTAGGTCCTGAGGGTGGTGCCTTCATGAAGGGCATTAGTGCCCTTATAAAAGGCAACCCAGAGAGCTCCCTTGCCCCTTCCCTCACATGGGAACACAGCGAGAAAATGGCCGTTTCTGAACCAGGAGGTAGGCCCTCACTCACCACACAACAAATCTGCCGGCACTTTGATCTTGGACTTCCCAGCTTTGAAAACTATGAGAACTTTTTGTTGTTTAAGCCACTCAGTCTATGGTATTCTGTTATAGCAGCCCGAATAGACAGATGGAGGGTAAGTACCAAAATGATAACAGAATGTAGTTACTTCTGGGTGATGGGATTATGGAGTTTTGTATTTATTTCTTATCATTAGTCTTTGATCCGAATTCTCTACAATAAACTTGCCTTCATTTTATAAGAAAAACAGTTGTTCTTTTTTAAAGAGTGGGGAAAAGCTACAGGCACTAGAAAAAGAGAAAAATCATTAAGGATGAGTGTAGACGCTGAAGTTCCTTCCTTCCTTTAAAGGTATAGTCAATTCTTATTTTTCACAGTAATTATGTTCTATAAAGTCACTACGAACAATGAATTAGTGAATACTGAACACCTGCTCCTGGGGGAAATAAAAGGTTAGGTTGTGAACCCCTGGTCACGTCATCTTCATCAATTGATCAATATATAAACTTGTTTAATGTGTTTTCTGTTTAAAGACCCTTTGATGTATATTATTGACTCATTAACAATGAGCTCAGTCAGCACCACTGTAACTCATGCCTGAACAAAGCTTATCTAACACATGCATGTTCTCCATAAGGCACATCGCAGTCTCCTCTCACTCAGGAACACTAAGGGCACTTTAGCACTGTTCTTGGGGACCATTTTAAAGAGTGAAATCACCAACAAAAAAAGCACAAAAATGCAAAAAAGTCCCACTAAATAAACTGTGAAAAGGACTCTTGTTTATAGTTCGATAGCTTGAAATAAGGCAATGTGTTGCCTTGTTCAACCTCTGCTGGAACATGGTGTGATGGGCAACTAAATTTTTTGCTGCTCTGCATATGACTATAAATGTTTGCAAAAGTACTGATTTTAGGGTTACAAATAAATTTTAGTGAGTAGGTATAATTCACAAATATGAAATCCATGAAAAATGAGGATGACTTTATTTTACATTACTTAAAAGTGTGACTCCTGCCTAAAAGGTAGAATACGTTTTAGTCTAAAATCAAGGGATCAAAATCCCATCCTCTGAGTGTCTACAGTAATTTTTCAAACAACCCCTGGCAGGAGATGCCGGAGCACAGGGATAGTTCCCAGCAGTGCCAGTGCCAGTGCCAACACAATAAATAGGACACACTAAAAGGGATAAAAGCTTTGGCTAGTGAGAACTTCAGACTTACTAGTTATTCCTCAGCTGTCCCTTCTATTCCTGCTGATCAAACCCAAGTTCTCCCTCAACATAGGAAAATGAGTTATTGAAGGGTTTTGCTCAACCATGCAGATATAAGTGTATCAAAGACTAAAATAGGTCAAATCCTTAAAGGTCTCAACCCTGCCTCTCCTGATAATTCATCATACAATCAGTGTTTTATATCCAAGTACTCTAGTCATTCAGGCAAAAAAAAAAAAAAGGAGGAAAAGATAAAAAAAGAAAAAAAGGTTACTGTGCAAAAGAACCCCACCATGCACGTCATGCCTCTACTCAGTGGGTAGGGGTCTTGTACGTCAGCAACACACCATTCGGGGTCAGGGTTAAGACATTCCATATCAAGACATTTCGATCTAGAGAAGGCAGAGCTGTGAGAAAGCCGCTGGCTCTGGCTGAGTTCAGATCCGAAACTACTGCAAAGGATTAAGGCTTATGCTGAACTAGCTTGTTCCAATTGCAATTTGAACAATACAACTAGGGAAGAAAACTGCTCTTACCTGAATGAAATGAGTGACCACATGGACATAGGCCCCCGCAGCCGCCACAAACATACAAAGGGCAAAACTGGCATAGACCTTCTTCAGGTGCTGCTGTGTCGAGGGGGTTCTAGGAAAGAATATTAATATCAGCCATCACTCTGGGACCAATCCATTCTCATCTCTTCTCTCTCTTCTTCTTCCCGGAGAATACGTGAAAGTTATATTACAATTTAAAAAAATGTTTTGAAAATAGGTTAACAGAAAATCTTAAATGCTGGGAAGAGCCAAAAGCCCCAAATTATGAACAATTAGTACCAAAACTAGAATAACTAAAGGGCTTTCCAATGACTACACAGTAGCCTTTAGAATCTGGGTGCTTCTATCATATCCTTGGGGTTCTAATAAAGTTAATAAACTAGGGAAAAGAAACCAGATATGAAAGGAAAAGCAATAAGAAACTATAGTCAAGGTCAAAACACTTACATGTGGGAAAATTTTAAGAGTGCATCAAAGTCGATCTTCCGATCAAATATGTTCATGATGCCAGAGTCTGTGGGACACGGCCTCCACTCTGTAGAATAAAGGACAAAAAGAAAAAAGGTTATTTTAAAGATACAAGTACACACCAAGTAACAAACAGCTTTCTTATTAAAAAACAGCTACAAGTTTGGAAAAATTAAAGTTATTTAAAATCCCACTGCCGTTAACATAACCATTTTTACTTTTATATATTTCTTTGTAGAATACATTTGCAATCATAATCAATCATTTTAAAGGGGACAGAGGAAACGAGCCCATGTTCTTCTCCCCAAACTATTTCATTACTAGCATTTGATTTCTATTCTTTCAGAAGGTTATTTGCACCTTTAAAAAAGTTTGTTTCTTTGAGAAATTCCCAATTAGCAACCTAGTTAAAGGAACCCAGTCATTAGAACATAAAGCAATACTGTCATTGTTATAGAACTCCCTCAGCAAAGGCATAGAACCTCAAAAAATGAAAAAAGTTAAAACTATAAAGCTGGGTCTGGCACTAGGACTTGCATTTTAAATATATACATGTAAAGCTTTCTACTAATGCATTTTAGAACTGAACTAAAAGGGAATCACAATTTTAAAGAGAAAAGTTCCTACTTCCATGGAAAAGGAATTTGTGCAAAAAGAATTTTTAAACATAATTTTAGAACCTTTCCTACAGAAGAATTGGTATAGTACAAAGAATTCCTTCCTGTATACCCTTCACCCAGACTAAATGTTAATATTTCACCATATTTGCTTTATCCTCTCTCTATATATAGCAATATATAGACTTAAAAATATTTTTTCTAGTCGTGCAGACACAATGCCCCTTTACCTCTAAATACTTCCATGTGTATATCCTGAAAACAGTAAAAATCAGGAAATTATCATTGATACAATCTGATTTACAGAGCTTATTCAGATCTTGCCAACCGTCCCAAAATGTCAGAAAGGACATTTTTTAACTGAACTATATCCAGGTTACATTACATCAATATGATAAAGTCAGGTTCTTAAGTTTTGCTCCCTCCCCTATCTCACATGCAATCCTAAATAAACATGTTCAATCTATAGAACTAAAAATCTAATCAAGAGCTTTCATCTTTCCTAAATATAAACCTTCCAGATCCTTATATACCATACTGCCCATTCATTTCAAATCTACCAAAAAAGCGGGGAAGAAGGGGACCTAAAACACAAAAGTTGTTTGAAAGACAGGCCAACTACTCATGCCCAATCTAATCAGAAACTAGCCTAATACAGCAAAATTCATCTGGGTAATAAATGTTACAATCCCCAAACCGATTTCCTGAGGAATCCTGGGCCAGGGGAAAGATGCCATTCTCAGAGTTCAAAAGCATCACTACCACTGTTTCCTGAGGCTCTCTCTCACAAATGAAACAAAATGGCTGGCGTGCTTTCTCTGATTTCCTCTTTCCTTTCTCACAGTCCCTACTCACCTCAATTCTTTTGTTAATTCTGTTCTTAAGGATGGATACAGGGTGAGGCTGCAGAACCTACTAAAGCTGTTGCTCTCATCTCTAAGTCACGGGGATCTGGGTCCTCTTGATCTAGATGGTGCAATTATTGCAGGCTGTTGCACTGCCAACCACAGCCTTCCATAACCATGATGAATAGGTCCTCTAGAGAGCACACTTACAGGATGGCAGAATTCAGCACCTGGAAAGTGTCTTTGTTTAAGGCTTCCATTAACACCCCTAATGACATCCCTAGACAGAAGAACTTGCAACAGTACTGAAGCAACCTTCAGAGCCAAGCTTCTCAGTAGTATTTACAACAATGCTTACAGTACCTTTTGCTTCCAAAACAAGGAGAGGGGTTAAATCCTCAAATACTTAGGGGATTGTTAGTCAGAAAGGGGCAACGCTCTAACCAGACCCCACTAGTGGAAACTTAGGAGGGAAGATGGCAGAAACTCCTCTTTCCCAGTTCACTCTTTGACATCTCCCGGGGGGGTACTGACAGCCTCTTTCTGGGGCTCTCTTAAGAAACTGCTGATGGGAAAACCCAAACCATCAAAAGTTGTCAGGGTAAGGAGGGAAGTGCTGAATAGGAATTTCTCCATGACTTAGTAGTGGCATGTGGTTTAAAGTCTAAAAAACATAAACCAGTTTTCCAACATTACTACCTATTCTAACATTTAAGTGAAATACGTAACTACCAAATTTTCTAGATGCAAAGATACACAGCAATTTTAATAATAGCTTTATGGGGGGAAAGAAATGCGATAAAGTATACATTTAATATGACATGATATATAATTACATAATTTCAGGAATGTTAAAATGTGAGGGGAAAGAAAGTCTTAGAATCAAAAAAATATGATAATTTGCTCTAGGTCTGTTCCAAATAGACAAGAACTAAGGCACAGATAAGTAATGAATTAAAACTGTTTTAGAAGTTTGGCCTTAGGTTTCTATCTTAGCCTCAACTAGCTGTGCTCAGAAGCTGCAAAGAAAAGATACCTACATTTCAATGGTCAATAACCACTCAGCTGAACAACATTAAATTGCATTCATAACTCAAAAATAGCAGCTCCCATTCCAAAAGTATCGTCAGTACTGGGAAGAGTCAGCTCTTAACAGAGCTTGCAGTATTCAAAACCATTAGCCAACCAACTCAGCTAACATTCCAGAGAGGCCAGGCCCCAACAGTTAAATGAAAATCTTTTTTTTTTTAAGTACATTAAAATGGTAAATTTTATATTTTACCACAACAAAGAAAAAAAGTACATTACAGGTTGCTCAGAAATTCTTCAATATAGTAGTCCCAACACACTATTACAAAATAGATACCAGCCTTCATCTGTCTTACCCTGAACCCCAAACTCATACAAGAAATCTAGAAAGTGGATCGATCCTCTCTCCCACTCCCCAGTTCTATACTCAACTCTAAGACAGGGAAGGGGGATCATTTACATGGAATGTAATATGGACAGTGTCTCCTGAACTCATGGGAAATTTGCCTGTATTGCATTTGTAAATAACAAGTAAATGTTCAGGTGTTAATCATAACCAAATCCCTTTAATTTGGTCCAGAGCCTCATTTTATGTCTTCATCCTTCAGAGAGCAGGAATCCCCAAACTTGTCAGAATCTGTCAAATGTTGTCAAGCATATATATACTGCTAATGCTTTGTTGGAAGTGTCACCATTCTGTGGGTTCTGTGGGTCAGCCTTCTCTGCCAGAGCCACCGCCCCCCCCCCTCAAAAAAAAAACACCACAAAAGGTTTAGTGTATAGCTTTACCAAGAAAGAAAAACTCAAGTAAAAACATTGTTTTGCTTGGGGAGAGAAGAGAAGCAGGGACAGGCAGGAGATAGCTATTCCTATCAATGAGCATCTATGTGTTATGTCTCGTTAAATCATTTGTTTTGTTCTAGGTATCTTCCTTACCCTTGTCCTAAAATGAAAGGTTATTATTAGGAGCCAAGCCTTAAATAAAAAAAATAAATAAAAAATTCTTTGCAATCTTACTCCAATACCTATTGAGTGCAGTGCATGTGAAACACGACCAAATGCCCACAAGCTATGAGAAACAAATAATCATGCATTTAAATCCTTGTCTTTGAAAAATAAAAGCCTGCTGATAACCAGAGTCTGGACAGGGGCTGCCCGAAGTGTACATAATTTAACATTAAACCAGCAAGACAAAGAAACATTGTTCACATATTTAATTAAACATCATTTAGTTTGTGAATTATGGCTCTTCATTCCTGTTGTAATTTAACCATCTTGAACTCGGTTCCCACATATCCAGAAGGGACCAAATTAATACTTAAAAGAAAAGAAAAATCCCATGTGGTTAAATTTAAATTAAAAAAAAAGGAGGGGGGATTGTTCGTAATTTTTCAGTTCTTCTTACTGAATAGTTTTCGCGCTCTGTATGTAAGTGTCCCTAGCATAGTGGTTAAGAGCATGGCCTACTGCACTTGAATCCTGGCCATTATTTCCTTAGCTGTTATGACATGACGCAAGTTTCTAGCACTTAACCTCACTGTACTTCAGTTTCCTCATTTGTAAAAGAGTAATATATAGTATTGCCTACTTCACAGTGTTGAAGATTAAGGGAGATAATACAAACAAACTGCTTAGAATAGGGTTTCTCATATAAGGCTGGCTTGGCTCAATATGTTGTTAACCATGGTTGTTACTAGTGTAAATACACATCACTCGCAAGTCCTCAGTGTATGCTTCTCCCTTTAACAAGTCTAGTTGTAGAAGACATTTATGGCAGGCCTAATTTACATATACCCTGTGAATTAATTAAAAAAAAATCATTCAACCATTAACGAAGCCAGCTTCATACTAAAGGCTTAATATTTAACCAAAAAGAAAGTAAAATTAAATGGGGGAGTGGAGTCTTAAGAAAATTATAAATTGGAATTTAAAGGAACTTGATAAATCTTATTACTGGTAAAATGACTTTTCCTTAAAATGACATGCCTCTCTTCTGGCATTATATACTGTATCTCCTGTCCCACAGGGCCACAGGCATTTTGAGACAGCCTACTAACCATTAAGTAATAATCTGATGTGATAGAGATTTTGATGAAGTAAATGGTCATTAGCTTGACGCTTTCCTTGCCACCCTAGAGGTAGCTCTATTCAGGTTAAGTGATTCCATTTCAACTAGGGCTGGGCTTTGATTGTCCTAGATCTGGACCCTACATGTCTCAGCCCTCCCTTAAATTGAGCCAGCCTCAGGACCAAACCAGTACCTGGAGATGGAATGCCTACTGCCGTATATAAATTATTTTTTGTACCCAACTTTGACACTACTGAATCGTCCTCTCTATAACCACAACAGTTTGACAGATATTGAATCATAAGACCCCAATGTCCTAAATAATCATCTTGCAGTATAAAACCAGCAATCCCTCCCCAATAACACCGTATTTAGCCCAAATGAGAGCAGGCACAGATCAGGTCATACAGCACACCCACTCAATCCTCATCCTTGAAGCTCTTTTTTCAAGTGTCAAGTGGCCCTAAAAGACAACCTCTACGGTCTCTCCTTGGCTTGAATACTGTCT